AGACCAAGGATGCTGGGCAGAGGCCAACCCACTCCTTCACCAAGTCACCCGTCTTCCGAAGATGGGTGACTCTGGCCTGTGGACAACAGGATTGACTGCCCTTTCCCTCCCCTTCCCCAGGGGGAGGGTGGATGAAGAAACAAGGGAAGCTGCCCAAATGAGTGCTTTACTCAGCCAGGGCCTTGTCCTTCCGGCTTCCAGTTCCCACCTCCACCCTGACTCTGGTGACCTCAGCCACTCCTTTCAGTGTAGTCAGGGTCAGGGTATAGTCGGAGTTGGAAGGAGTGTTCTTGACCACTGCAGCCAGGGGAGGCCATGGCAGGCTCAGGAGGGCCTGGAACAGACTGGAGATCCTGTGCTTTTATCTCCCATGCAGCTGTCTGGCCTTGGGAGTGTGTAGTTCCAACTCCTTTGCTCACTCAGGGTGGCTGTCACAGGCTCTTCCTTCCTAGCTCTGTAGGGTCTCTCTTCCATGTGGCTCGTCTGCTCCAGAATCCACTTCCGCTCTGACTCGCTCACTGCCAGCCTGAGTGTCACCTCCTGGAAGACGTTGCTCATAGCCACCTGTAAAAGCCAGAGCGCAGACTTGCTGAGTACGACCCCAACACCAACAGCACTGCTTCCCTAAGCCTCCTCACCGACGATGCCCTTACCTGCTTAAAGTGAAGTTTCTGGAACATCCGGATGCTAGGTTCATTTTCTTGCCCAATTTTAGCCTCAAACTTGGTCAGACCTAGCTTCGTCACTCCTCCAGTTAAAAGAGAGAGAGGCAAACGTTAAAAGCTCCACTCTTCTAGCCTCTGGTCCCAGTCTGCAGTTGAGGGCCTGTCATCTGCTGCCTCCCCGCTGAAGAAGGCTCAGCTGAGGCCTACCCACCTGTAACCAGTGTGGTCACTTCTGTCTTACCGTAGGACATGATGAGGAGAGAAGCCTCGGTGCCAAGCCCCTGGCGTCTGAAGCTGGGCTCTAAGAGAAAGAGCACACTGTGGCTGGTACCAGACACCAGGCTCCGGTGTGTATACCTGACATGTACTGCCTCACTGATTTACCAAAACTCCAGTTAGCATTCTGCCCGGGAGAAAGACGGGCACACAGAAGTGGCAGGACACACGAGGCTCCCAGTAATCTGAACCCTGTTCCCTTCACTGGGGAGCTCTTGGCAGATGCTAAGGACCAAGGATGTGCAAGCAGACAGGGCTCCCCAACAGCATGACAGGACAGCTCCTGAAGTGACTCTTTGGAGGATCTCCTCCCAAGCAAGGAACAGGTAAAGATTTGAAGATGACACACTCAGGGGCTAAGGGTGGGAAAGACGGCTCAGTAGTAAAGTGCCTGCAAGGAAAACCAGGGCTTGATGCCCAGAATCCATGTTAAAAAAAAAAAAAGCCAGGTATGGTGGCATGCATTTTGAAGCCCAGTACTGTGGAGGCACAGCCAGCTAGGCTGGCCCACTTAGCAACTTCCAAGCTGGTCGGAAACCCTGTCTCAACAAAGATTTAAAATGGTGCCGGGCAGTTGGGAGGCAGAGGCAGGCGGATTTCTGAGTTCGAGAGTTCGAGGCTAGCCTGGTCTACAGAGTGAGTTCCAGGACAGCCAGGGCTACACAGAGAAACCCTGTCTCGAAAAAAAAAAAAAAGAAAAAACAAACAAAACAAAACAAAAAAGGTTAATGGTACATGAGGAACAAAAGCCAAGACTGTCCTCTGGTATGCACACACACTAGCTCGCCAAAGGTTAGGGTCACACTGAGGCACACGGAAGAATGTGGTGAACCCAAGGGTTAGTCACCGTGCTGAATGTGGGATGGGGGAACAATCTGCCACAGTCGCGAGCTAGCTGACGGCAGCTGACTGAGCTACCCCTGGGCGCTCGGTAAGCTCTCCGAGGTTCTGTCTGGGCCAGGTGAGACAAACCTGCAATCATGACCTCAATCTCCGCCAAGGTGGGGTCTTCTAGGTCTGTGAGGAAGAGGTTCACATCTCCCACCATGCAGCTCTCTTCAGGGGGGCGAGGCTGGGCCTGCCACTTCTCAGCATCCAGCACAATGAAGGTGCACTCTGAGGGCAGAGGCAACAGGGTTAGCGCCTGCAGACTTCAAAGAAAAGAGGTGAGGCTGGTGTTCCTTCCCGAGCCAGACCACTGCAGCATAGGGTGTCTGTCTCTTGAGCCCGGCAGGGAAAACAGTGAATAGTTCAAGTTCACCCTTGATCTGAAGTGGGAAACTGCCTTCTCCAAGGCATCCGTACTCACAGGAACAAGGGATCCAAAGGGTAGGAGGACCTCTCCCAGGCTGTGGCAAGGGAGGGGAGAGCAGGGCCTAAACGAACAGCTAGAAGTCAGATTGCTTTATTTTCTCTAAATCCCTCCAAGCTCAGGAAAAAGGAGTCAGCCTCCAGACTTTTTAACCATTACAGCTTTGGTGACGCCCCCAGAGGGGCAATGGCTGAGGAGTGGGAGAAAGTAAGAATGGAGGCTGCCTGGGGTGGGGGTTGGGGGTGCCTCCTCACTGTCTTCATCTTCACACCAGCTACACTGCATCTCATACTCCTGCTGTAGGGTCAGCTGCTCTGAGGCTGTCAGATGCCGCAGTTCCTCTGACTTCATCCACTCGTGGTACCTGTGGGGGTGGGGAGGGGCAAAGGCTTGCCTTAGATGAGAGATACTGATTCAGCAGCACTGGGTTTCTTGGATGTGGAGAGACAGGCCCCGGATGCTCAGCACATGGGAGGTGGAGCCAGGGGATCAGGTATGCGAGGCCAGCCTGAGTTCTAGGAGACCCTTTCTTCAAAGCAAATGAACAGGAAGAGGATGGGGTGTTTGAGCTCTGTCTGGGGAGAATTCTATGCTAGGCTCTCAACAGTACAACTCCAAGCAGCTGTGAAATATGAGGTACAAACAAACAAGAATCTGACACTGGGTGTGTGGCACATGACTTTAGTCCCAGCACCAGGGTGGCAAAGGCAGGTGGGTGTCTTTCTGTGAGTTTGAGCCTAGTCTACATAGTTCTAGGCCAGCCAGAGCTGCACAGTGAGACTTTGTCTCTAAATAAATATACATAAATTAAAAAATAAAAAAAAAAGGACCTGACAACCGCTCCTTTCTGGTTTTGTCCACACAGGGTAAGTGCTGTGGAGGTAGGGATTTTAGTCATTTTCACTTGGTGTGAAAACACATTGTAGGTATTCAGTTAATATAAATCGATTAAAAAAAAATACCCTCACCTCCAAAGAGTATGAGTTTGCACTTCCTGAGATGAAGTGGATATGGTTAGTCAGAAAAGATAGGTTCTTCCCTCAAGCAGCAGCAGAGAGGGTAGCTCTAGGTGGCCAGCTTTCCACCCAGGCAATGTAAAACCAAACACTCCTCCAGTTCCTGCCAATCCAACCTCGGCAAAGAGGGCTGGGAAGACCTCTACGAAGCAGGGTGACAAAGACCTCCCCAAAGTAAAACTATTGTCCCCTACGCAGCCAGTTTCTCAATCTACCGGGTGTTTGCCAACTGACCTCACAAAGAGCCTTGTATCTCACTTCTGGCCTTTAAACAGTAGGCATCAAAATAATGGAATTAACATGTGGGGCAAGCACATGTGAAGTCTCTAGACAATACCAGGGAGTGCCATCAGTAATTTAGAACAAGGGAAGAAGACATGTCTTTGTTCTTTGCTACACACATCTAGATAATGTAATCCTGATTGAAAAGCCCTGATTGAAAGGAAAAAGATGAAAAGTGAGCTCTCCACTTCGGCTTTATTCTTCCTGCGTGTAACCCCCACCCCCCACACGTCACTTTGATACACAGTCTCATTAAGTACCCTAGCTAGCTGGCCTGGAACTTATTATATAGACCAGCCTGGCCTCAATCTCACTGAGAGAGATCCACCTGCCTCTGCCTCCCAAGTGTCGTGCCGGAATCAAAGGTGCAGAGCATCACACGAGTAATGTTTCTTAAACAAAACTGGCTCCTAGATTAAGACACCCTGTTTCCGACAGCCCTCCACGCTACGACCGGTCGGGTGAACAGTTAGTTACCTAGGCACATGCTCGGAGGTGTAGGGTACCAGGACCACCTTCTTGCCCAGCAGCATGGTGTTCTGATTCAACTTCATTGTAGCTGCCTACAAGAGGGGAGAGTTAAAGACTTCAGAGCCCCAAGTGTCTTTCCCACACAGGGTGGGAAGTGGAACTCTTCCTCTAGCGGTGGCGATGAGTTGACAGAAGAGCGTCCGTCCTGCCTTGCCCTCACAACTACTTGAAAGAACAGGGATTCTAAAACTCTTGTAAGAAAAAGAACCGAGGCCGGGCGGTGGTGGCGCACGCCTTTAGTCCCAGCACTTGGGAGGCAGAGACAGGTGGATTTCCGAGTTCGAGGCCAGCCTGGTCTACAGAGTGAGTTCCAGGACAGCCAGGGCTACACAGAGAAACCCTGTCTCGAAAAACCGAAAAAAAAGAAGAAAAAGAACCGAAGTGGTCAACACATCCCGGTTCTCACCTCAGGGGCCAAGTTCTGGCTGGGTTTCCAGCCCATTCCTACACAACGTGCCCCCCCACCTCCCGTCCACCTCCAAATGACCTGTTAACACTTTTTAAACCTGTTTCCAACCCTAGCCTCCAGCGCCCACGTCACCCGGTTCTGGCCCTTCCGTTTTCCTGTCCCCAAGCCCCACTCAAAGTTCTCAGGCCTCAGCCCTTTGCGTGGCACGACAGTGGTTCCTCGCCGGTCTAAGCGCCGTAGAGTTTGCAAACTGTAAAGCTCACAACCACCCCCCGCCGAGGAAGGCGTCCCCAACGACAGGCGTCAGCGTGTCCCGGAGAGCCGGGCTTTCCGCATGCGCATAAGTGCGCACGGTCCGCTTCCGCCACGCAGACGGCAGCCGCGAAGCCCAATCCCGGACCCGCCCCCGCGAGGCGCCCAATCGGCGCCCTGCGCCCCTCCCGACGCGCTCGCTTGGAAGGGGCACCGGGGAGCGTGCGCATGCGTGTAGCGGGCGCTGGTGCGGGGCCGCTGGTGCCGGGTGGCAGCTGCGGAGCTGGAGGCGGTGGCCACTGTGCCCGGGAGCTAGCTGTGCTGCAGGTCTGGGACGGTAGGATAGGGTGGAGATGGATGTGAGTTTTGGAGTCTCCCCAGGAGGGGAGGGGAAGGGAAGGAAAGGCTCAGGGTCCGGCTCCTGAGAAGAGAGGGAGGCTTAAGGGTGGGAAACCCTAAGGTAAGGCAGAAGGCAGGTGTGGGTGTGCGAGGCCCCATTTAAAAGAAGAGGCTTTGGGACAAGGAGTTAGTGTAGAGGGACGACCTTGGAGAAGCTGGCTCTCTGCTGTGGGCGGAGAAGCAGACAGATGTGTAGGCTGTCCTGTGTGGTAGTGAGCTCATAGATACTGAATGAAATGGACGTAAGCGCCATAGGATAAAGGAGGCTGTGATGGTTAGTGAGGCTGAGAGGCCCGGGAGGCCCCCTCAGTCGCTTGGAGTGTGAGCAGCATCCAGGCACAGAGAATCGCCTTGCATAGCAAGAGTCAAGTTAGAAGGCATTGTCCAGGGAGCTGCGTCCCACCAAGGCTGTCTCATGGCACATACTGAGACCAACGTGTCTGGGGTAAAAGGGCTACAGGTGAAACCGTCAGGCTGCAAGTCTCCCCCATTCCCATCTCTGCCATTAGAGAACTAAAGTCTTTCCTTTTGTCTTAGGAGCTGCAGCAGCTGCTGGCACTGCACAGAAGTAACCTCTTGGGCCAGCCCTTCCTCACTCTCTGGAGATGGCAGGCGAAATCACAGAGACCGGGGAGCTCTATTCTCCTTATGTGAGTTTTTCTCCATAAATGAGTTCTGCTCACCACCATGCTCTGGTTTCTAGAGAAGCCCACTGCTGTCTGTGGACTGTACTAATTATGGCCCTGGTTTAAATAGATCCTGGTGAAAAACGAGACCGAAACGCCACGTAGCTTCAGTCAGGGTTCAGCTGTCTTGGCTCAGACTCTGTATATCAGACTCATTTCCCATTTGTTTATTTATTATTTTTTAAAGTTTTTATTTTAAATGATGTGCCTGCCTGTCAAATCCAAAAGAGGGCACCAGATGCCCTGGAGTTGTAGATGGTTGTCTGCTGCCCAGTGTGGGTGCTGGCAGTGAACTCGGGTCCTCTGCAGGAGCAGCAGGTGCTCTTAACTGCTGAGCTGTTTCTCCAGGCCAGTCAGAGTGTGTCAAGCCAAATATAACTAACTAGCTTGCTACTATCCCATAATATCTAGCTCGGGGCTCCCACAGATCACACGCAGTTCTGCCAGTCAGATGGGCGGTCACCGTCAGCTGTCGCCGGGGAGTTGTGTTCCTCTCCGTCCGTCTTCAGCAGCCTCTCTCATCCTTCGCTGAATTCTAAATTGCACAACTCTTGTGGTCTTGGATGTTGAAAGAGGCGGTGAACTGCAGAGTCTGCCGATTGCAGTTTGGTAGAGTAGGCAATTATGACAATTAGAGTCATTGATTTCCCTCTGTCTCGGCTCTGTGGCCCCCACACTCCCCCACACACACTCAGTTTATCTTCTGTCTGTGCAGTATCCAGGTGGTTGTGGTCATTGCACCACGGGGCCTTCACTCGGTAAATCGCCGGAGGTGATCGTGAATAACCTCAGTTGACTCACGTTGGTACCGGCTGTCACCAGGAAAAGCGGCTCTTCTCCATGAGCCCCTTTGTTAGCGTTTTTCTAGGTTTAGCAGCTGCCCTGCTGTTCACAGGCAGCCACAAACCCCCACCCCACCCACACTCCAGTTCACCGTGGCAGCTCACCAGGGAAAGTCTCTTGAGAGCTAGATTGGACGGTGGCCCTGTCCGTGCGATCATGTGATAGTTCTTAGTCTCCCCTGTCAGCAGGAAGATGTCTGCACTGTCCCTACAAGTCGCCACAGTTCTTGCTTTTTTCTGACACAAACTACAAACTTAGAGGAAGTAAGTTACTGCTGTGACCACATTTTAGAAGGGAAGCGTCCCATGTCCCCATTCCTTGTCATCATACACATGCCACCTTGTAACGCCTGGACAGTTAGGCCTGCGTGCCTCAGGAGCGCCGCTCTGCCCACCTCCCCCTTTTCTCCCTTCCCATTTTGTGTGTGCTTTATTTTATCCGGGGCCTTTGTGGTTTGCCGTAAACAAGTGCTGTGGTTTTGTTTTTATCTTAATCGTGAAGGAAGAGAGATGGGGTGGGGGGCTGCTGGTGGTAACAGGGTAGTATTAATCAGGTGGTGGTCAGGGGTCTGAGGAAAGCGGCCATCTTCTTATGGGTCTTTGTTTTTCTTTAAAGATTTAATTTTTATGTGTACAGATGTTTGGGATTCATATATATGTGTATGTATGTATAAACATAAACATGATATGTACTCATAAATTTGCATAGCTATATACATGTGTGTCTACACATATGTACATATATACATATGTGTGTATATGTGTATATATGTGTGTGTGTATGTGTGTGTGTTTCATATGCATGCAGTGCCCACAGAGGCCAGAAGAGGGCATCAGATCCCCTAGAACTGAAGCTATATCTGGTTTTAAGCCACCATGTGGGTGCTGTAAACTGAGCCAGGTCCACTGCAAGAGTAACAAGTGGTCTTCATCACTGAGCCATCTCTCCAGATCCTAAGGTTCTTTTTTAATTAGTTTCTTGAGAATTTTGTACAATGTGCTTTGAACATCTTGACCTCCTCCTCCTCCTCCTCCTCCTCCTCCAGTGTCTCCCAGGTACACCCTACGTCCCTACCCACTCAGTTTTCTGTCCTTTTAAAACAAAAGCAAAACCAAAAGGCCATCAAGTTCAGTTTGTGCTGCTATATACTCTGGGACAGGTGGCCTCCTACTGGAGCGTGGGTCACTTACCAGGGGCTCCTGACACCACACACACACACACACATATACACACACATCCAGCAGCTTTCAATTGCCAATAATCACTTGGCTTCACACCCTCCCTCTCACTTTATGCTGGGACTTGGTCTGGCTTGAGCTTGCACAGGTCTTGTGTGCCTTTTGTCACAGCCACTGTGAGTTTATGGCTAGCTTTCTATGTCTGGAAGATGCTGTTTCCCTGGGGTCATCCACAGCCTCAGGTCTCTGTGTGTGTGTGTGTGTGTGTGTGTGTGTGTGTGTGTGTGCACGCACATGCCAGCATGTGTGGGTTGGTTATTGTGTTACTGTTTTTAAATTTTATGTGTATGGGTATTTTTCTTGCACGTGTGTCTGTGTACCATGTGCCTGGTACCCGCAAAGACTAGAAGAGGACATCAGAAACCCTAGAACTAGAATTACAGATGGTTGTGAGCTATCATGTGGATGCTGGGAACTGAACCCAGGTCCTCTCAGCAAAGAGCAGCAAGTGCTCTTAACCACTGAGCTATCTCTCCAGTGGCACACTGCCCCCACTACTTTTCTCCCCTTCCCCTCTTCCCCCTCCTTCTTCTCTCTCTTCTTCCCTGTCTCTTTAGATTTATTCCTTTTTTAAAAACTGTGTTATCCATGTCTGTGTGTAGGCAAGGAGACGGTGTTAGATCCCCTGAAGTGAATTATAGGTGTTTGTGAGCTGCCTGACATGGGTGCTGGGGACCAGACTCCGGTCCTCTGCCAGAGCAGTAAGTGCTCTTAACCCGTGCTTTGTCAGAGCAGCCAGGCCAGCCAGCAGCACGCTCCTCCTCCTGCATCTGCCTCCCTGGTATTGGGATGACAAGTGCCTGTTTCCATCCCCAGGCTTGTTTGAGTGCTCGTTATTTTGAGACAGCAGCTAGCCTGGAACTCACTATTTAGACCAGGTTGGCCCCGAATTCATAGAGATCCACTTGCCTCCTCCTCCTGAGGACTGGATTAAAGTAATGTACCACCACACCCCAGTTTTGTATGTGGGTGCTCAAGAGTGAACTCCAAACCTCGGGTTTGCACGGCAAGCACTTTATTGACTGAGCCATCTCCGCAGCCCTGCAGTCTTAAACCCTGGCTGGGGCTGAGACACCACAGGTGCCTCCTGACTCCTTTGACTGCCATCAGAGGGGACACTTTTGAGAGATGGTGCATGGGTGTCCTGGGTCTCTTCTGCTGGAGGGATGCAGCCAGATAGAACACTGTACTAAGCTCTCTAGGGCTCGGAGCTGTGGGCTGTGCCTTCCCTAGTTCAACACACAGAGGAGCCGGGTGAGCCTGCATGTGTAAGGTTGATCTTCAGAGAACACAGAAGGCCCTCATTCCTCCACTTTCTCCCACCCTTCCCAGGAGGCTGCCCCCTCCCCCATGGTCATGGGACCTCCTTTTCCCTTTCCACAGCTCCTCTTGACCTGGCCTGTGGCTGAGTTGAGAATGACTTCCTTTTGCCTGCTCCTCATGGCCGACGCTCACTGAGTCCCTTTCCCGAAAGTAAAGAGATTTAGGATACGCCTAGACAGCCGAGGCCCACAGACGGCAGAGGAACCCTGCCCTGCACCGCTGAGCTCCCGGTGGACCTAAAAACAGCAGCAAAGCAGGACAAACAACTTAGTCTAGAAGTCTGTTTCCTTGTTCACTTTATTTTAAATCAAAAATTGTTTAGGTGTTCCCTCTGAATGTATATATGTGTATAATATGATTGCAGTTCCTACAAAGCCAGAGAAGGCTGTCAGATCCCCTGGAACTGAATCTATAGATGGTTGTGAGCCGTCACGTGGTATTGGGAATGGAACCCAGGTCCTCTGAACAGCAGCCAATGCTCTTAACCAAGGAGCCATCTCCCCAACCAGACAAACGTTTGTTTGTTTTCAACAGGTTCTCTTGTAACCCTGGCTGTCGTGGGACTCATTCTGTAGACCAGGCTGGCCTTGAACTCAGATCTGCCTGTCTGCCTCCTGAGTACCAAGTCTGGCTTCTACAAATGCTTATACTACTTAATTCTCTCATAAAGTTTTTGCCTGGTCTCACTTTTGTTAAAGTAATTTATTTATTTTTATTTTATATGTGTTAGAGTTTTACCTGCATGTATGTCTGTGAGAGGGCGTCAGATCCCCTGGAACTGGAGTTACAGACAGTTGTGAGCTGTCATGTGGGTGCTGGGAATTGAACCCAGGTCCCTTGGAAGATCAGCCCATACTCTTAACCACTGAGCCATCTCTCCAGCCCATGTCACATTCTTAAAGCCCTTTGCCTCGCTTCCACCATGAGAAGCCTGCTCAGAAGGCTGTTTTCATAAAGTTCCTACCCCTGCTTAGTGTTTCTCTTAAAGGTGTTAGACAGAGAGTAAGGCTGCTCCGAATCTAGATGCCAGGGAGTCAGCCAGGGGTCTGCTCTCAGTGCCTACGGGGAGCTCACCAGAGATGGCCACTCAGACACAGTGTATAGCCAATTGAAAGTCTTTATTTATGCCAGCTGGCTGGGACCACACCCCAGTGTTGAAGAGTGTAACAACATGACACAGGACAGGGACCTCGGTGTGGCCCCAAGTGTGCAGATCATGGGGTTTTAAAGGGCAGGGACCTTGTCCAGACATCTTGCTCATCAGCTGGGGGTTGAGGGTGGGGGCTTCGCAGAGTAAGCAGTTTGAAGCGGACAGTTTTAACAGACACTGAGACGCTAAGATAAGCGGTTATCTGGAGGAGGTTCCGCACAAACAGGCTAAGATAACTTAGGCCATCCTGACCTTTGGTTCCTAGAATAGAATTACAGGGTTTTCCCTGGAATTCTCTATCAAGGAGATCAGATTCTTGTTAAACCTGTGGCTAGCTCAGCAAGAATACAAGATGGAGGAACCTCTGCACTATCTTGGCCTGCCACCCCTGCTTCAAACCCTCCAAACCATGGCACCCCATCATTCCACCAGGGCCTGTGTCTTCTGTGGCCTGGTTCACCGACACAGCCGATATATGGCTGCCAGAAAGCCCTACGCACACCTGGAAGAATGTGGTGTCAGAATCCAGCTGTTGCTCAGACCTCAGCTCCTGCAAGGTTCCTCCCTTCACACAGATCCAGACATTATGGACTCCCTAGCTAATAGACTTTGAGTTACCTCTTGTCAACCGAGGACAAGATGGTGGCCGCGCATCTCCCTTTCCTTGCAGCATAGCAGACAGAGAGCCAGGCTGCAAAATCCTTTCCCTCAGCCATCTGTCCCAGTGCCTCCCTTGAACCCCACATTTAAGGCCCTGTGTCCCCCCACTTCTCCCACTATGAGCCTTTGTACCTGGAAGTCCTTCCCCTTGACCTTATTCCCTTATGAAGGAGGAGGCACACAGAGCAGGAGATGCAGTAAGCCCACGTGAGCAGGTCAGAAGACAACGCTGGGGAGCTGGTTCTCTCCTCTGTTACCCAGGTTTAGGGATCAACTGGAGACGGTCGGGCTTTTCCACAAGCACTTTTACCTACTGAGCCATCTCATCAGCCCCTCCTCCTCCTCCTAGTCTTCCCCTCTTCTCCTCCTCCTCCTCCTCCTCCTCTTCCTCCTCCTCCTCCTCGTCCTCCTCCTCTTCCTCCTCCTTCTTCTTCTTCTTCTTCAACAGTATCTCATTGTGAATCCTAGGTTGGCCAGATCCATGTTCCTGTCTCCTTAGACTCCCAAATGCTGCTGGAATTGCAAGAGTGGGCCATCTGAGCCAGCTGAGCACCGTTTACTTAAAGCACGATACATTATCTCGTGCAACAAAGCCACTGTTCTTCTCTTCATTCTTCTCCTCTCTTGGTGTAACCAAAGTCTCTGTCCTCATTGTCCCGCCCCTGCGTCGTCAACAGCTTTAGCAGGTGAAGGGCTGTGTCTGTCAAGTCCCATTGAATCCACAGCTCTAAGCACAGGCCAGGCCAGCGGCTCAGTAATGGGTGAGTGAGGGAGTGAGCTGAGCTGGGCAAGCTAACTGATTCCCGCCAGGCACACGCTGGCTTCAAAGTGCCAGTGATGAAACTGACCCCAGCCAAGGGAAGAATGTGACTGCTGTTGACACAGTCACTTGTAAAAAGCCTGACTTACAATTCCGAAGGCCAGCGGTGTACTGTCAAGCCCAAGATAACCCGAGCAGGGTCTGGTGAGGTCCACCAACTTTAATTTTATAGCATGTTCACTGTGTGTCAGGTTTTATTTATTTTTTATTTATACAGTATGTGTATGCACACGCATGTACTCATGGGTGGCAGTGAGAGGACAACTTGCAGGAGTCAGTGGGTCCATGGATTTGAACTTGGATTGTCAGGCTTGGCAGCAAGCACTTTTACCCACTGAGCCATCTCTCTGACCCTGTAGGTTCTGCTGTTGTTCTAAATCCTGAACTTGTTAGTCAACTGTGGTAATGCATGACTGTAATCCTAAGACTTAGAAGGCCGAGACAGAAAGATTGCCATGAGTTTAAGGCCAGCCTGGGCTACTTAATACTAGGCTAGACAGAACTATATAATAAGGCTTTGTTACAAACAAAACAAAACCCCCACAATCCTGAAGTTGGTGTGGAGAGAGGGATATAGATGTGTGGATGTCACTGCTCAGTGGACAGCGGCAAGAGCTGGCACCGAGGATGAGCGAATCAAGGGATCAGCCACCTCTGAGACCTTCTCTAGGGGTCAGTAGGCTTGCTCAGCCTTGTGTCGGTGTCCTGCCCCTGATACTGTGTCTTCAGGAAGCCAGGTTGAGTGGAGACGGAAATTGATAAGAACAGAGACGGAGGGGCTGTCGTCCTCTGGGTGTCCATGCACGTGTGTGGCTTCCTAACACCTGGCCACAGATCCTGGCTCCTCAGGACTTGGGTGCCATCCCTGCCATCTCCACAGTGAAGACCGAGGAGGCCTGTACAGTTATGATACCATCCCGAGCCGTCCTTAGGTCAGTGAATCCCTGGCTGAACGTTGCTCCTGTTGTTCCAGGTCGGGCTGGTGTACATGTTTAACCTCATCGTGGGCACAGGTGCCCTCACCATGCCCAAGGCCTTCGCCACGGCCGGGTGGCTCGTCAGCCTCGTCCTGCTGGTATTCGTAGGCTTCATGAGGTAAGAGCTTTGGGGCATGGAGGGTGGGCAGCCACTTGAGGGCTGGGGACAGAACTGGAGGAAGTCTACCCAGGGAGCCTGGGTATCTCTTAATTAACAGGAGAGCTCATGAGGGGTAGGAAGATTGCTGTTTCCATACACGTAGGTGAGTGGGTCCTAAGCTAGGTGGCCCAGAGCAAGGATGGCGGATCCAAAGGTCACCAGGGCCTTTTGCTATCAGAGCAGAGGAGTAGCCCTAAGCAGTTAAGCCAGGACACCAGACAAGCCCTTGGGGTGTCTCACAAGACAATGGCCAGCTAGTCCTGACAGACTCTCAGACTCCTTCCTCTGAGTTTTATCTCTTTAACTATCAGTCCTTGCTCTCTGAGAAGTCAGCACCCAGCCACTGAAAAGGCCAGCTAGTGAATCAGTTTACAGTTTAGATTTGCTTAAAATAATTTACTACAGGCACACACATATATGGATGTCCCCATATATGTGTGTGTGTGTATGTATATATGTATACACACATGCATGTATATGCACACACACACATACACACACATATACACATATATGAGGCAGTCAGTTTTTTAAGGACCTGCCTTGTGTCCACCCAGCCTGCCCAGACCTTCACGAATACTGGGTTTGTTGTCCAGATGTTGGAGGGTTCAGCAGCTGGTGCTTCAGAGCAGACAGAGCCTCCTCTTGGGGATTCCCCTGTCACTCTCAAGTCCCATCACAGTGACCCAAGCTGTAATTAGAAGAAGGCAAGTCCAGCCCCCTCCACCAGGCGGGCACCCATGTTATAGTGCTGGGAAGTCGGGGCTGCAGAGGTGGCTCAGCTTAGAGCACTTGTTGCTCTTGCCAAGGACTGGGGTTCAGTTCCTGATCCCCACACGGTGGTTCACAGCCATCTGTAACTCTAGTTCAGGGGATCAGATGCCCTCACCTCCATGGGCAGTGTACAGTTTTTATGGTATACATACATACTTGCAGGCAAAAAAAATATAAAAAATAAAATAAATAAAACTTTAGAAACAGAAGGGAGCTAGGTGTGGTGGTGCACACTGTAATCCCAGTCTGGGCAGCCAAAGGACAAACAGGAGTGGACAGCCATCCTGGGCTACATAGTAGATGCCCCACCCTACTCTGCACGCATGTGCACCAAAAAAAAAAAAAAGGTAGGGAAACTAGGAGACTCCTCCAGGAGTATCTCACCTGGGAGACAGCACTTCTACACCATCCTCCGCGTTAGGGACTTTCCACTGAATAAAGCAAAGAGCAAGTTACAAGGTGATAAGAGAAAAAGAACAGAAGAGGGGCTGGAGAGGTGGAGAGACTGCAGATTTAAGTAGGACTCGGGCCGTGGGGACGTGGGCACATGGGGTGTGAGAGCCATGAGTCTGAGGGCGTGGGCACCTGGGGTGTGAGAGCATGAGTCTGAGGGCGTGGGCACCTGGGGTGTGAGAGCCTGTGAGTCTGGGGGCGTGGGGACACAGGTGTGAGAGCTGTGAGTCTGAGGGCGTGGGCACCTGGGGTGTGAGAGCTGTGAGTCTGAGGGTGTGGGGACCTGGAATGTGAGAGCCATGAGTCTGGGGGCATGGGGACCTGGGCTGTGAGAGACGTGAGTCTAGGGTTTTGGGGACCTGGGCTGTGAGAGCCATGAGTCTGGGGGTGTGGGGACATAGGTGTGAGAGCCGCGAGTCTGGGGGTGTGGGGGCATAGGTGTGAGAGCCGTGAGTCTGGGGGTGTGGGGACATAGGTGTGAGAGCCGTGAGTCTGGGGGCGTGGGGACTTGGGGTGTGGGGGCCGAAGCATGGGGTGTGGGGTTTGGGAGTGCGAGAAGGAGCTGTACCACATCAGAGGCTTGAGAAGAGCACCCTAGAAAGAAAGAACGAAGCAGAGATAAAAGCTGAAGGAAGCAGGCCCAGAAGGGGCTCATGGGAGGGGATCACACCCAAAGTTTGAGGTTTCTTTGTGCACTTATTTTGGGGAACCTTGGAGGTGAACCTCTGAGTATTGCTGGCTCATTACATATTTCATGCTCTGGCAACCAAGAGCTCTCAGAATTTTTGTCCAAGTCACTGTGTCTCCTTTAAAGGCTCAGTACAGGCAGCCATCTGAATGGGGGATGGTTATTGGAGGCCCCCAGGTAGGGGCTGCCACGCCCCGCTCTGCTAAGCCACTTTATGTGTGAACATGATCAATGCGTTGGCTCTGCACAACTGTGACCAGCCTTCTTGTGCCTTAATTAAGATTGATTTCAGTTTCACTTCCAGTAAGGCATGGAAATGCAGAGTCCTTAGAAGGACCAGTTAGGCAAGATAATGAGAAACCTTTCTGGGCTTCCCCAGGCCTTGTGCCCCGCCTCCCACCCTTGACCCTCTGCTGGAGGGCTGTGGGTTTAACTGTGAGCAGCCCAGCAGGTCCTTTTCCAGCTGATTGGAGGGCTTAGCATTTACTGCTGACTGCTGTCAGTACTGGAGGGTGTGAGGACAGAGCTGTGTAGTCCTCAGAAAGTCTGGAGGAAAGTGTTAGCCCGAGCAGACTCATGCCCAGGGTTGCGGCAGCCCCAAAGGCAGCACCCTCTACTGTGTCTACTATGAATGGAAGCACGGTGCATTCCAGCTGCCCTGGAAGCTGTGGTTAAGCATCTGGTACCGTTTCCCAGCCTCCCTTTAGAGAAACAGGAGTACAAGCTTATTTTAAAATTGAGCCAAATTATTTAGGAGATGAAGGCGCTGCCAGAGGAGCAGGGGTTGAATCCCAGAGCCGAGATGTGCTTTCAGCCTCCGTCCCAGTGGTCCTCACATTCCTGTGTAGTTGAAAGCTGGCCACTGCTCTGTGCTCTGGCAAAAAGTGAAAGTTGCCTGCTGTCCTTCCAGAAGCTGTAAGAGGCCCCTTTGTGACTCAGCCCCCTACCTCAGAGCACCATTTCATGTCTGCCCCAGCAGGCCCTTTCTGGGTAGCAGGGCTGCCTCACCTTCCTGCGTGCCACCTACCTCCACCCCAGCTTGAGCAGTCACCCTCTGTCCTAGTCGGGGTTACCACTGCTGTGATGAAGGGGCTCACTCGGCTTACAACTCCACATAGCTGGTCATCTCTGAAGGAAGGCAGTCAGGAACTCACACAGGGCAGGAAGTTAAGAGTCGGGGGCTGATACAGAGGCCATGGAGGGTGCTGCTTACTGGTTTGCTCCCTGTGGCTATTCACCCTGCTTTCTTATAGAACCCAGGACCACCAGCCCAGGTAAGAAAATGCCTTACAGATGGAACTTATGGAGGGCTTTTTCTCAGTTCCCTCTTTTCAGTTAACTCTGACCTGTGTCAAGTTGGCATAAAGCCACACCCTCCCATCAGCCAGCTCCCTCTCCTGTGCAGGAGACAGATGCTTATGTCAGTAGTGACTTTGAGGCAAGGCAATCATTTGGTATGCAAGTGACACTTTAATTTCTCCTTTACATTTATTTGTGTGTGTGTGTGTGTGTACACACATACAAATGTGCATGTGTGTGCATATACGCACACATTACTGTAGGGGTGGGTTCTCTTGGCCCTTCATGTGGGTCTCAGTGACCAGCTTGGATCATCAGGCATGGCAGCAGACACCTTGACCCACCAGGCCACCTCGATGGCCCCAAACCATGGATTTTGGCCAGGGAGGACCATCTCAGAATTTCCATGGACAACAGCTCTCAGAGGAGAGAGTGCTGTGGTTGAGAATGTGTTGGTTGGGTCAGATTGTCCTTCCTGCTGCCTCTCATGGCATTAACATGTGGCTTCCCCGCAGCTTTGTGACAACCACCTTTGCGATGGAGGCCATGGCTGCAGCCAACGCCCAGCTCCGCTGGAAGAGGATGGAGATCCACAAGGTGTGTGTACTGCCCCCGTCCTCAAGGCCATGCCTCTGTTTAGTTGTGTACCCAGGCAGTCTCCACAGGCCTCTCCAGCAGCCCGGGCCCAAGTTTTAGCTGTAGCGAAGTAGCCATATACAGCTCAAGGGACACACATGGTGGCTGCTGTGTTAGCATTGTAACCTTGGTCCCTGACACAGCCACATGGAGCTCACTCATTCATTCTGAACCTTTGTCCCAGGGACATTCCTGTCTCAATCTTGTGATGTGACAGGACACACAGAGCCTCCAAGGAACTCCTTCTGGAAGGAGTGAGCAGGGAAGGGCCAGTGTCAGCTGGGGTTTCTTAACGTTGCACGCTCAGATCTCTCCTCTCTTTTCCTCTTCATCCATCCTACCGTCACCCAGGAAGAGGATGACGAAGACTCGTCCACAGCCTCAGACAGTGACCTCCTCAGCCAAGACAATTACGAGAGGGCAGAGAAACGCCCCATCCTGTCTGTGCGTAAGTCTTGGGCTGCTGGTCAGCAGGGCTCCCTGTCTTTGTAGAGGTTCCTGGGGTGTTTTCCCTGCAGACTGCCTCTGAAGTGTCAGTTTAGAAGGCCCATAGAGTCGGGATCCTGAACTCAGGCCTAGCCTCTGCTGGCTCCGCCTCTGCCCCCTATGTATAGAGATTGGTGCATTACCTAAGCTCTGTGACGCAGGGTCTGCCTACATCCACGTGCTTCTCTGGATTCGTCCACTCCCACCCCCACCCAGAGCACACACACCCTTACCTCTCTGTCTTATTCTGTACTGGCCAGATATAGGGGCACCTGCTGTCCCCATAAGAAGCATGCCTGAATTCTCTTTAGACTTGGGGCTGGGGGTGCAGCTTCCTGGTCATAGAGTTCCCCAGTGTGCCCTGAGCTTGGACTTCATCCCCAGTACCATACACACAAATTACTAAATAAATTAAAACAACTTCAAATGCTTGAAGCAAGGAATACTAGAAGGAAGACTGCCGGGGAAGTGTATCTCAGTAAAGACTGCCGAAGTGGCAAGCGGAGGACCCGGGCCATGAGGGGAGGAGCTTGACGATACAGTTCTAGCGAGTCATCAGAGTTCAAGCAGCGCCCGCCCCTCAGGGCTCTTCTGCTGAACAACCACTGCCCTGTCTGTTCCGGCCCCACAGAGAGACGCTCGTCAGCCAACCTTTTTGACATCACAGACCGGGTAGAAATGGGACAGATGGCTTCCATGTTCTTCAATAAAGGTAATGGTCATTCCGGGACCGTGTGTAGAACGGGTACATGCGACCCTTGCTGAAACTCTCGGCCTTCGTACTGGGGTTGTATGTTGAAGGGCAGGCCAGGTGGGTGGGAGCAGGGCAGCCATCTTGCTGGGAGGCTTGTCCAACTCGCCATTATCTTCCTGGGGTTCCTCACTGTGCACTGCCCTGAAGAATAAGGCTTATTCCATCTGACTAGTACAGGTCAGGAGTCCTAGGTTGCCTTGCCTTCCAGCTAAAGGAGCCAGTTGGCACACTGCTATAGAATCTCCCTCACACACCTGTCCCCTGTCAGCCAGCAGAGGGAGCTAGAAGTCCATGTCGATGTTGCCCAGCGACGATCCAGCTCTGGAAAGCTGAGGCTCCATGTGCCTTCCGGCTCTGCTTGCTCTTGGCTGGCATTTGCTACAACCTGCAGGTGTCCACCAGGATCTGCCAGCGATCGCCTTTTCTGTCTCTGTGGTAAATCTTATTTTTTGGAAACAGAGCTGTTCTAAGAGCTTAATATTTAGCACCCAAACTTTTGCTGTCCCTACTTCCGCAGGCATGGAGCACAGCCTCCGTAAGCCCTTCTTTAAGAACTAAGCTATCTTAGAAGATTTTATGCCCCTCTGCCAAAGCCTCCCATTTGCCAAGTGGGGCATCTCTGTCAGTTCCGGTGTTGAGTGTGGCTGTGGAGTGAGGGGAGGATTACAGAAATGGGAACATACTTGACTCGGAGCTAAACACCAAGCACTCAGTTTGTCACCCAAGGTGCGGATCGGTGATTGGTCCAGGAAGAGTGGCTGTGGGCTCAGGCTGGCTGCAGCTGGCTCCATTCTCCTCTCTGGGCCAGCCTAGTAGAGGTTTGCATGATTCATCAAAGCCAGCATGGCTGTGTTGAGGCCACATTCATGCCTTTCCTTTGTCCCCTTCTGTCACTGGCCCCTACCGAGGGGGAGCACATAAGTGTCCCCTTCTGGTAGCCACTCAGAGTTCTCCTCAAAATTCAAGGTCGAAAAAAAAAAAAAACCCTGCCTGTTAGTGGGAGAACACATATGTCCTAAACCATCCTGCTTGCCCATATGTTCTGTAGCCTGTCCTGACTTCCTTCTTATTTGTGTACATGTTTGCGTGTGTGCATGACACACGTGCATGTGTGTAGAAGCCGGAGGCTGACTTCAGGCATCTTCCCCCTCCCTCCTCCGTATATTTTGAGAGAAGGTCCTGCACTGAACCTGTGGCTCACTGATTCAGTGAGGCTAACTGGCCAGTCTTGTCCTCAGTGCTATGACTACAGGAGCATGTCTGGCTTTTTTATGGGGTGCTGAAGATCCAAACTCAGGTCCCCATGCTCCTGCCCCGATTCCTTTAAGATTTCTATGCACTAGTGGCTTGTATTGTCTTGTCTACCCATATCTCATAAAAATTAGCACATTCGTGTGGGAGCAGCCCCAGCCATTGAAGAGCCCCCCAGAACCTCCTGCAGGGCTTCTCAGGTTTGGCCCTGGTGACATTGAGCTGGTGACCCTTTGTCATGGCAGCCTGTCCTGAGCATATAGGACGGTGAGATGGCGTTTCCGGCCTCTAGTTCCAGAGCCCACCCCTGCTCTGCTCTGTTCAGTTACTTAGACTGCCAGGTTGTTCCATCACCTGTGGCGGAGTGCGCCCTCCACAAAAGGCTCCCCAGGGCACCACAGTCATTCCTTGTCGTTAGAAATGCCAGGCTCAGACATTAATGTCCTCTCGGGAAGCTCATTGATCCTCCTACTTTGTGTCTAGTAATGAAATTTTATTGATCAAGGAGGGCTGACAGCAGTTCATAAACAGCCAACACTGTAGCTGTCAGCAGCGGCTGGAGGCAGTACTGCCTTCCCACTGAGGGCATCGCATCAGAGAGGAACGGCGGGCTGGAGCGGGCTGTACCTAGAGCCCGAGGTCATGAATGACAGGCAGCCCCATGAGCTTCAAGCCACATCAAGGTCAATTCTGATGTGTCAGGAAAGGGTGTCACACCTGTCATGTTTAAAAAGCACGTGCTGTGCCCTCGTGGGTTTGTTTTTTTAAATTCTGTTTTCCTGACCATTTTTCTCAGGATTCCGAGGAACAGAGCTGACCTCACATAGCCCAGGACTAACATGTCCCGGGCTTTCCCCTGGGGACCTGTAGGCTGTTCTGAGCCACCAGGATTAGAAGGGAACTGTCACTTCATTTTTCTGCTTATTCTCAGAGAAACCAACAGCTTGACATCGGGAACTTGAGCACTTAGTCTAAATGCAAGTTTGGAACTGGTTGTCTAGGACCGTGACCCTTAGGTGTTAGCCCCAGCTACCTGTGCGTAAGCTTCTCCAGGGCACGTGCCTGGATCTTTGTACCCAAATCCATTTTATTTATTTATTTATTTATTTATTTATTTATTTATTTATTTATTGGGGGGGGCATGTGAGTGTCAAGGCTTGGGTTGGGGTATAGGACAGCCTCCCGAGATTGGTTCTCTCCTTCTGTCATGTAGATGGCAGGGACCCAACTCAGATCATCAGGCATGGCGACAAATGCCTTCACCATGCACTAAGCCGTCTCTCTGGAGCTGCCGGTGTAGATTTGATTTCTCTGTCTGATCTTCAGATTCAACGAATCTCTCAGGCACCAGTCCCAAGCTGATGCATCTCCCGCCAGCCTCACAGTTTAGTCAGCCAGAATAAGAAACAGGAATTTGGGGTCATTTTCCCCCCACTTTTTGTAGAAGGCAAATGGCATGAAGAACTGAGAACTGCAGAAGCAGTAAAGAAAGACTTAGGCGTCAAAAGAGAACACAAATATGTCTGCCCCTGGCTCCCTGACCTGTGACTTTGTTGCTTTCAGTGGGGGTCAACTTGTTCTATTTCTGCATCATTACTTACCTGTATGGAGACCTCGCCATCTACGCGGCCGCCGTTCCCGTGTCCCTCATGCAAGTGACCTGGTGAGTACCCACGCATCTTCTATCCCCATGTTGGTCGCAGACCCACAGGCCTCTCCACTAGCAGGGCAGAGGACCTTCCATAGAAGCACAGCCTAAACAAACCCTCAGCCTAAGGAACGTCCCACCTAGGGCCCTTCTTCACCACGGGCCAGCTGTGCCCTCTGTCCTCCCAAGGCACGTTCCCAGACCTGTGAGCCGTTGTGCTGCATGACCAAGAGGGGCTTGTCCTATGCGGTGGTTTGTGGGAAGTGGGAGCTGCAACCCCACAGTCTCTTCCTGCCCATGCTGAGCCCCAGTTTGCCATTGCTCTCTTTAGCAGTGTCTCAGGAAATGACTCTTGCGGCGTGGATACAGACGCCAAATACAACGACACTGATCTATGCTGGGGGCCCCTGCGCCGGGTGGATGTCTACCGGATCTATCTGGTGAGTGTCCTCTTCCTGGCTCAGCCCTTTGTCCAGAGAAGAGTCCTGCACAGTGCCACACTCTGGCTCGAGAGTGAGGTCTTAGCCACTGAGTCACATGGCCTCCAGGTTCAGGCTAGCAGGCTGTTGTGAGCTTACACAGTTTGAGGGGGCCTCTGTAAAGGTCTTGCATTCCAGAGACTTCCCATGTCTTGGCCTTACTCCAGGCCAGCGAGGTACAGACAAGCAGACGTTAGGTTTCGTGACAGGATAAACAAGAATGGCATCTTACAGTTGACCCTTACCATAGACAGCCTCCTTAGGCAGGTTGGGCTCGGCCCAGCCTCCTGCCTGTCTTCCCATGGACGAGGGAAGAAGATGAATCACCTGCCTTACTCTTGATTGCTTCGTGCCGCGGTATGGTGGGGGTGGAGCTGACTAATACACCAGACAGGACTCAGATAATAGGACGACACAGCACCAGAGGCCATTTGTCTCTGCCTGCTTCAGAGGCGGGCTCAGAAACGCCTCCCTCCAGCTTTTGCATCTTCTCTTAGTACTTTCTGCCCCTGCTTGGTTCTTCTCAGCCCTGGAGCATGGTCAGGTGTGCTGGGAGCTGCTCAGCCTTGGCCATGGCTGCTGGACTGATGTGAAGGGGAGAGGAGAGAGGAGATCTTTCTGCCATGGCCTCTTGACTTGGGTCATCCCCATCCTGGCTCAGGGTTCCATGGACTCCATCTGTGTGTTGTTGTGGTCTGGATGTATTAATCCCAAGGACTACTGAGTGGGTTTTATCTCTCTGGTCAAGTAGGCTCCTGAAGGACCCTTGAGGCTGTGGCTCAGGAAATGTCTTGCCTGTGCTTCTGTAGCTGTCCCTCCATGGTCTGTTTCCCCTCTGGGGCATGAAGCCCTGGCCAGGACTTTGTATGCTCCTAGAATTTCATCCCTGACCCTGCCAGCAAAAGTTGGACAGGTATTTGAAAGCAAAATAAATTAACTGGTGGTCAAGTCTACTTCCAAAGCCTTGGGGGTAGGCACATGGACCCACCAGGCAGCCAGGGGCCCAGTAGAGGAGCAGCCAAGGCTTTGTTAGCCTCTTAGATTTTAGTGTGCCATGATTAAGACTTTTGTATTCATTAAAGCCCTCTGAACTTGATCTTCCCGGGTGAGCAGGAGACTGAGGAAGGTGTCTGGGTGCTCCTCCAGGGAGCAATGACAGGAGCAGGGCTCCAGCGGGTCCTCACCTTCTGCCTGGGGTGCACCCCAACCCACAGCACAGTCCACACTGAGCACAAGGGGTGTTGGTGCTGCCGTTTGCCTGGTGAATTATTCAGAAGCATTGTTATTGCTGTGGTAAATTGTCCCTTCAGTCTTTGCTCTAATCCTTCCACATGATGGACGCCTCCCTCCCTGAGTCTCAATAACTCTGACAGAACAGAGGGAACCCTTCGGGAAGGCAGACAGACATTAATTACTGCCTTCATCTCCCAGATATTGTGCTTATAACTCAGGGAGCTAATTGTCCTGGTGCTGTAAGCACTCCAGGCCTGAGAGGCCAAGCCTTCAGAGTAGGAAGGAGAAGATTAGTGGCTTCCCAGGAACATGCGTTCTGGGTAGTAGGCACTATCAGAGCTGGAGCCCCAGCGTGCCCAGAACCTTCACTTCATCTGCACGCGTCTTCCTAGCTCAGAGGGCCAGCTCAGGAGTCGTCTTGGAAGTTGATTTGCAGCTTTGCATGTGGCTCCCAGGGTCTGTGGTCCAGGAAAGCTGTGCAGCCTCCTGACACCGAGTGCCAGGGATTGCTCTGTCTGTATGCCCCCATCCTACCATGCCATACACAGCTGTACCGAGGAGCAAGAGAAAAGATAGCAAAGATGCTGGCGTCTTTCCCCAGGCTCGAGTCTCCTGGCAGATGATCAGGGCATCTTTCCCTCCCAACTAAGGGGAACTAGACCCTAGCAAGTAGTCTCTTTGTACCTCAGAAGAAGGTCCAGTATCCTGTAACCTGGCCTTTTAGTCATTCAAGTTCAAGTGGTCTGTCCCTTCCCAAGGCTCTAGCCTGCCTCTCATTTTGCTGCTCACTGAGGTCCACCGAAAATGTTAGCAGGGCAGCAAGCCGGTAGAAGTAGGCTGAAAGCACCCTCCTGCCCCACACATAAATCACCTCAGGTAGATGCTGCCATGTCAGGCCTGCATCTTTAAAGGGACCTCGGGATAACTCTCTTCATTGCTATTCTGGAACACTCTTCTGTGGGATAAAGAAACAGGCTTTTATATTGTGGCTTAATTTTCAGAGAGTCCTCTGGAAACCAGCTCAGGAAAGCTCCTGAGAAGCGCACAGAGAATGAGAATAGGTGGGCTAGGATCTACCTCTGAGGCCGGCCTGTGAGCGGCATCATGGGTACGTCATGAAGGGAGCTTTTCCACCAGAAGCTACTGGTTTCCTCCCAAAGCCCCTTCCTTTAACAGATGAAAAATTCCCTCTCCCTTCCTCGTGTCCATGGTTCTTCCCATGATTCCCAGTGCGGCTGATGGGTCAGTTTCTCCTTCTTCATCCCTGTGTTAGCCTTAGAACAGGGTGCTGGCAATGCTGAGAGTCCCCTGCATTATCACCCGCTGCTTCGAGCACACTCTCAGGTGGCCTGACATGCTGCCACATGTGTGGCCTGTGAATTCTTGTTAGTGCCCATGAGCGTTTACAGGTCTGCTGCAGCTGTCTGTGTGTCCTCAGCCCCCATCTCTGCTCCTCTGAAAGATGAAAAGGGAAAGTGTCAGGTGGCCTGCGGCTGGGAAGCATCCGTGTCCAACCCCAGTACAGGGCCAGGACTGTACAGGAGAGCCGAAGGACGAGGGGCGCATGGCCAGTGGTCTAGCCAGAGCGGTGAACTCCAAATTCATCAACAGACCCTGCCTCAAAAAATAAGGTGGAGGGTGATACAGGAGCCAGGGGACTGATACAGGAACCTGTCACTGGCTTCCACATGCTCACGTACAGGTGGGTGCACCCGCACATGCGTGTAACATACACACCTAGGAAAAACATAGTATTTTAGTTCTATGCCGCATTGCCGAGGAGCCAGGGTCCCAGTGAAGCAGTGGGTTGTATGTGACTGTTCTGTCCCAGGACCGCTCTGCCCTGTGGGATCGCATTGACGTTCTGTCCCTGGGCTCTCTGCCCTGTGCCTGCAGTGGCTCTTGTCACAGCTCCTTGTTCTGGCAGCACTTTGGGCCATTCTACCCCTTGTCCTCCATCCCTCCTCCCAGAGATCATCATGGGTCAGTGGAGACTCCCTGAGAGCTGAGAGCTGGCAGCATCCCCCGCTTACAGGTGGGCAGATGCTGCCGCCTCACGAGCAGACCAACAGGCCCAGCGGAGCCACAGCGCAGATGGCGGACCGGAGCTTAGCCTGCTGGAGACCCAGCCACAAACTGGCCATGCTGAACAGGGGTCCTTTATTGGCTGCCTTGGGACAGGACAAGGTGACCCCAGTTTGTTCTCCACAGGAGTTGTGAGATCCTCCCTTGGGGCACAGGTGACTGGGAGGAGATGCAGCCTATTCACAACCAGCAGATACCCCATCTCCCTCTGCGGGTGAGGGGCATCCTCTCCAGATCTCCTCCAGATACCTCCTGGAAGAAGAGGGTGGAGCTCAGAGCAGCACTGCCTGCCTGCCAGTCACCCTGCTAGGTTACATTAGGGGGTTTGGCCTGAGCCTTCTCAGTAGCCCTGCCCAGTCCTTCTGTCCCGCCTACTGTCTTCTGATGGCCCTGTGCTGTGACACTGTCCGTTTGCGACATTGAAAACAGCAGTTCCTCTTTTCAGCCCAAATGTCTCTTCCTAGAATGTTGACGGCACAGACAAGGACAAAGTGTCCTCTGAATGAGAGTGGCAGCCCCACAGCCCAAGCTTGGGAAAGCTCCTGCACCCTCGCTCGGCTCAGCTTGGCTGGCTGAGGCTTGGGGCTCAGCTCTGCTGGCTGAGGCTTGCTCGGTGCTGATTTTCAGAGATTGTATTGTTTTGTAGCTAGGGGCTCTTGTAGTGTAAAGCTGTCGTTGAGCTCACTGAATCTTATCTTAAACTCCTCATCCTCCTGCCTCCACCTCCCGAGTGCTGGGATCCTAGGAAAGCTTCACCACACCTCAGGCAGTGTGCTTCCAAGCACTGTTAGTGGCTTCTGTGTGTCTGGTTCCGGCCTCCCAGTCACGGGTCAAGGATACACTTGTCACCCAGAGAATGGCTTCCACAGGGTCCCCAGACCCAGGCAGACAGCCCGGCTCTGTAGGCTGTCCTTAGGTACTCTTCCAGGCTCAGGACAAGTGCTCTGTTTGCAAGGCGGCCCTGGCTGTGCTGCACAGCATGGGAAATACCAGCTTGCCATCCCCAGAGCAGGACCTGACCAGGCCTGGGCTGCAGTGGCCTGACCCTCCTGCGGATGCTGAAGCGTTCTTTCTCTCAAGTTCCCAAGGAGCAAAGTGGACTTTCCTCGTAGGGCTGGAAGTAAGATCCTCTTCCCAAGGACAGTCCCTTCCCCTGCCAGAATTGCTTTGTACTGTCAGCAGCGGCCATGGTGCCCTGGGGCTGTCTAACATCTGCTGATAAGTGGGTCACCGCCAGGATCGCTTGAATATTCGTCCTTACCCATTCTGGGGCAGGAGGTGGCCTAGAGGCCTTCGGGACCAGTGAGAAAGGAACGTTAACCAGGAGCAAGTAAGGCTTGGGAACAGCAGCCACTCCCCAGTCATAGTGCTGCACCTCCAGGCTGTCCCTCAACTCAGGCCATTCTCTGTGGCGGCTCCAGAGCAAAACTCCAGGAGAAAACAGGTGGATGTTGCCCCCGATTGTGTGCAGTGCGGACCCTGCATGGAAAGGGGACCTGGTGATTCCCAGTGCCTGAGGTGGAAGGGCAGTGCTTACAGATTTAGGGTATCCCAGTAACTTCTTAAAAAGACAGACCTTATGGGCATAGTGAGAGGTGTCCATCCCCCCTTTTGCTCCCTCCCCCCTCCCTCCCAGCATGCCT